CGAGCTACTGAGTTTAATTTGGGAGAGCCCGCCAAAAAAGGTATTCGAGGGCATGGGTTTTGAGCCCTTGGGGCAAAAACTTTTAACCCCTTAAATTTATCACCCCCGGGGCCCCTTTGGGGGGCAACAACTAGGGGAAAATTTTAAAAATTTTAATTTCAATGTCGCGTATATAGTGAATATTGATGAATACTTTAGTTCTTGAACGAGAACAGGATTTTGGAAAGCAAACATAAAAAAAAAATGTGAATGATGTTTAGAATGTAAATGTCGTTTCAATTGTATGTACTAATTTATATCTGTCAATTTGATTAACTTTAAAGATATAAATAATTGGTCTGTTTTGTTTTCTCAAAGCCTTGTTCGTTCGACCAAAATAAGGGCCCCGTTTTTGGTCAACTCTTGCAAAACTTCTGGCGTTATTTTCCAAAATTCCTTTCATTACAATATGGGATGTACATTGTAAACTTTGCCTTTTAAATTTTTTTTTTGATACAAAGTTGAATAAATGGGTTTTTTAGAAATTTAAAATACAATATTGAAATTCTTTGGGGCGAGCTGTCAAAAAGTTGTCAAACCCAAAATTGGGCGAAGCTCTCACAAAAACTTTTGGGCAGAACTTTGTTTCTTCGAGTTAAAAAAAAAACATTTTGATTTTGGGGATTTTTGGGGACGAACAAAATTTTATTTGACATTTGGGCTTTTGGCCCTCCCTAAATAAAACCTTTGGTAAAAAGGGGGAAGCAATTTAACCAATGAAAACAGATAGGTTGTTTGAAATCTGAAAAAATTCAAAATGAGGTTCTTCTTTTTTCTTTTTTGATTAAATTTTAAAATCTTTTTGAACATTAAATCATTGCGAAAAGGCCCCCAAAATAAATTGGGTTCATTTTTTATAAGGGGGGAAGTCAAAGTTATTTCAAAGGTGAAAAAAAATTTCCCTTTTAAATGTTTTCCCGGGACTTAAATTTTCCCTTTTCTTTTAATTAAAGTTTATCAAAAATTAAAAATTAAAACGGGAAAGTCACTAATTTATATTAAATGTCAGCAAATATAAAGAATAAAATTTTTACTTTTACACGGTTTTTATCTGGGTAATATGATTTTGTTTTTTAAGGGAACTTTATTTGAGACGATTTTTTGGGTTAAAACAAAGTTGTGGGTTTAAAAAAAGAAAAATACACTGGTTTTTGAAATTCAGTCATGTATGTTCGAAGGGGAAACATTTGGGGCCCTTCTGGAGTTTTGGGTTTAAATTTTTTTTAAAATTTCTTTCCCCAAATCTGTTTTAATCACTGGGGAAATAACCGAGGCTCGGCCTGGAGTTTTTGTAAGGGAAATTTTCTTTAAATGACGAAGCCCGCCCAAAATTTTAATTTTTTCATGTTGTTGGAATCCTTTCTGCAGCGAAAAGTAAGGGGTTGGGAAAACGATAATATTGGTCATTTTTATTTTGCGAAATTCTAGGGCCTTAAAAAAATACCCAAGTAAGGGGTTTTTAAAATTTAAAAATTTAAAAGTTCCTTTTTTTTTCTTAGTATTTTCCCGCATATATTTTGGGTGGGAGCTGAACAAATCCCAAATTTTTCATGTAAAATTGACAATTTTAATTTATACAAAAAAGCTTATGCAACGTTTTAGGGAAAAAATTTTATATTATTTTATTAATTAAAAAGGTTAAAAAATTTTTTCGGGGAAATTAATTTATGTAGTCGTCTTCTGAAAACTCTTTTTAAAAAAAGGGGGGGGCATTTAATTTTTTTACCAAAAGCCAAACCCTCTTTTTTTTTTATCTAGATCTTTTATAAAAAAAGTCCTGGTTAATTATTTTAAAAAAATCATAAATGAGTTTTAAAAAATGTTAATAAAAGAAGTACTAAAATTTGGGGGGAAAAAAAAAATTTATTTCCCAAATGTTTTTTGAAGCTGTAGAACCTTATATCAATAACATTTTTTGTTTGGCCCCTTTTCCCAGGACTTAAAAAAGAAATTTCGAAAATCAAATCCAAACGGTGCTTGTTATTGGAAAAATTTGGTGAGGGGATTTTGAATTTATTTTGGGGAAAATGTCTTTGAAAAGAAATAAAATGGGAAGCCCCAAAGAAACCCGCTGAATTTTTAAATTTTTTTTTACTCTAATGAAAGCTTACTTTTTGGGGGCCCACCCGGGCCCCGATACCCTTACGGGTCAAATAAAAATTTGCCAATTTTAAATATGGGGTTTAGTAGAGATATTTTTCGAAAGTAACAAAAAACTAAATTGAATTGATAGCCTGACCCAAAGGTTTAAAATTTTCAGGGGTAAATAGGGTTTGGGGAAGCTTTTTTTCAAATTAAACAGCACTTGAACCCCGTATTGGTTTTTTCCAACAATTTATGAAGTTCTAAAATAGATTTTTCAACTTGATTTAAAATATAAAAATACATGTATTAATGTTTGTAAAATTAAACCTTGGGGTATCAAAACTATAACATTTCCTTTTTTCCCTTATTATAACAAATATTTAGCGGGGAAAACGAAATTACAAAGTTTTCATGGCTGTTTTTGGGTTTTTATAGTAATTTTAAAAATTTTTTAAATTTGGGGAAAAGTTCCTTATGTAGTTATAACCGGTTTTCATTTTTTTTAAAGGGCCAAAAAATGAACAGGTCTGTTTCCCCTCATTTCCCTTTCCCTCACACTTAACCCCTTTTTATTAACCTTCAGCTAAAGAACCCATTATCAAAACAATAATTTTTTTTTCGTAAGAAGGAAACTATCTTAAGTGCCCTCCCGGAAAATCCCAATGAGAAACAAGGGGCCCTTGATTTAAAATCTCTGACAAAAACGACATTGGCGACCCCTATATTCTCCTTAGTATTTCGAGGTTGATTTTTAAAGAACATAAACTTTGAAAACCCTTATTTTTAACCCCAAATTTCCCCGGGCATTTTTTGTAGATGTCCACCAAAAAGGAGACAATAGAAAAAAGCCAAGTCTTCATGTTGGTCAATTTGTTTGGGCCCCCGAAGGTTTAAAAACCTTTTTTGATTAAAAAAACAGTGGGGGCCCAATTTAAAAAACTTCAAAGGGGATTGGGGGATGTGCAAAGGGGGAAAATATTCCCCAAGGGGTTATGAAAATTTTAAAGGCCCTTTTGGGCCTTTTAAAGGTGGGTTTAGGTAGTTTTTATATTTAAAAAAAGCTAACAATAAAAATATATTATTAAATTTTAAATTTTTAATAACGCACACATTTTAAAAATTTTGGAAATTTGGGTTGCTGTAAAAAACAGTGGGGTTCCGTTTTTTACATTTGGGAAAGGGTACAATTGACATAAACAACACCCCGTAGTTAAAATCGTCAAAGGGCACATGGGGAAAATGTTTAAAACGGAGAATATTGAAGGGTGGCTAAAGTCTAAAAATTTAACGGGGTTTTTTTTTTAAGTTTAAAAATGGTCAAAACCCAAAAAAGTAAAAAAAATCTCAAAACCAAAAAGCATAAAATTTTTAAGAAATAAGGTAAAAAAAAAAATTTATATCCTTTGGGTATTGTTTTATTGGGAATGTTTATGCTTACCCAAATTAAAATTTTTGTCTTAAAATAACTAGGTTTTTTCCCAAAAAGGGTTCTTTTAAATCAAAGAAAAGTTTTTGGCCCTTTGAGGGTAAAACTAAAATTTCTCCGGTTTAAAACGAAAGATCAAAAAAAACAAGAAAATTAAAAAACCCTTTCGTAATTGACAAAAAACTTGCTTTTATTTAAAAAAAGATGATTAATTTTTTGACATTTTTACCACTGTTACGGGGCAAAAAACTGCTGGTCAACAGTCCCTCAAAAAACCAAAGGCAAAGTAGTAAAAACCGGGTATTATCCCAAAAATTTAAACCCGGTGTAAACTTTTTATCAAATGAAAATTTATCAGGGGGAAAAATTTTTCCCTTAAAAAGAGCGCCCAAAAGGGACATTATTTAATTTCGATAAACGTTTTTAAACAAGTTTTCTGGGGGATAAAACCCCCGAAAAGGGTTTTCCAAAAGGTTTTTCCAGACCATAATTTTTTTCTTGTTGGTATTTTTCATTTTTCAAAACCCAAGCAAAACCATTTGGGCCCAAATTTTAAGGTTTGGTTTTAAAACTTAATTCTTTTTTTTATGCTGGGAAATTTTTTAGGACCCTTGAAAGATTTTTAAATAACCCCACGCGACAGCCAGTTATTTGGTATTAAAAGGGACGTCCGTGCCAATTGATTAAGAATTGTCTTCAAAACCCACTTCCCCCACACCGATGTGGGATTTGGATTTTTTTTCCATTGTGAGGAAGCTATCAAAGTTTAAAGCTTGCGGAACGTTGGTGTGGTTCTACTCAAGTGTCCTTTTCGTTCGTGCCTGAAATAATGCACGGAAGGGCATATGAGGTCCCTTTCCTTGAAACCAGTAAATCTGAAAAGTCCCCGTATGGACCTATTCTGTTAAGCCCCCCCCCCCCCGCCAAAAAAAAAAGGTAGAATAAAAGATTACTATTGATTTACATTGTGTGGGTGATCCGATGAACCTTATTTCTTTACACAGGCTGCCCCTGAATATGATCACATCAAAAACCTTAGTTGGATCTGAAATCTGATGGTATTTTAATGTAAAAGGCCATAACCCGGGGGGTTGGGAAAAACCGAATTTTGGGGGGCCAAACCCCTTTATTTTCCTTTCAGAAGAAAAGGGTTAAAGGGAAATGAGGGTTTTCCTAGGGAAAAAATCCCCCCAGGGGATGAGGAATCCCGGAAAAATTTTTTTTTAAAGGTGTCAAAGGACCAAAGTAATTCCCTGGTAAAAAGGAAACTGCCAAGGTGTTTTGCTAGCAGTTAAAAAAAAAATAACATAATTTGAAATTTAAAAGTGGCGGGAAAAACAAAGATTCAAAGAATCAAATTGAGTTTTTAAAAAATATGGATTATATCGATTTTTTGCAAAAAAATATCAATTTTTCATTTTGAAAAGTGAATGCCGATATTAATGAAAATATGGGTAAATCCTTATTTTTTAAAAAGGTTTTTAAAATATTTTTTTTCCCCACAAAATTACTTTTTACAAATTGTAAGAAATTTAACTCGAAAACATAGACTAACACATGTTTGTCAGCTGAGTACGGGTCAAAATTACTTGAATTGTTACTAAATAATATTACTTAAATTCATTAAAATGAAGACCACTCACCCAACTGTCAGTAGCCATCTGATACACACGAGATTCGAGTGTCAAACATTTTACACGGTCTTTCAATCGCTTTCTACGCCATTAAGGCATCCTTGTGGGTGAAACCATTGCGGTTTTGTTGCTATTGCCCAATCAGAAGACTCCGTTAACAAAATATCGAACAGCTGATTGACAATGGCGTAGAAAGGAATCTAGGTTTGAAATTCAAATTTCACGTGTATCAGATGCTACTGACGGTTGTGAGTGGTCCAAACTTCGATGTATTTAGTAATACTATTTAGTACATTCAAGTAATTTTGACCCGTACTCAGCTGACAAAACATGTATTAGGGTTCCTATGTTTACGTACGAATCGTTGTGCCGCAATTTTGTCTACCAATTAGGATTTTTAGCACGAATTCGCCCATCGTTTCCTGAATAGATATTTTCATGAACGGGAAGGGCTAGAGACTTGGGGTCGGTCTCTCATTTGGAAGCTTAATACAAACGTGAAATAGTGATAAAAGTTTTTTTTTAATTGTCTGTCCAATTGTTTTCACAACGGCCCGGGAAATGAATCCGTTGCTCGTAGGCTCGAATCTGGAGTTTCTGGCCTTCTCCTTAACTTATAGTATATTTTAAAAGGGGTCATTATTTACATTTTTTTTTTTTTTTTTTGACACTTTAAGAGAATGAAAACAGGTTTTTTTTTATCAATCTGGTCATATTTTTTCTTCCCAGGTCCGAGGATACTCGTGCCTGGTGGTTTTACTCTTGTCAAAACTACCGGTCAAAAAACCAACAATGCCAAAATATCCATGGGTTTAAAAAATCATCATTTAAAAATAAATGAAAAACTATATAATCAGAATAACAAACACAATTTTTTAAAAAGGGCCCCAAATTATATAAAAAAACGACTGACCTTATTAAATGATAGATTCAACCCGCAACAAAAACCCATTGCGTATTGTACCGTGTAAAAAAGGAAGAATTGTGCTGGTATAAAAGGTAAAGGGTTTTTATTATGTGTTACCCCTACTGAAAGGGCCCGCCTTTTGATTTATACGGAACCTTTTGCTTTTCTACCATTACCCCAAATCCTACCCCAACAGGCGCCAAGCCCTTAAAAAATTTTAAAATTTTTAGATATAAAAAAAATTTTAAAGAAAGACACGTTGGGGAAAAATGTGAATTGGCATATACATTACATTAAATGACCTATGCCATATTTTTTTATATTCACAAACTATCAAAGCCACATCATCATCCTTCAAAATTACATCACCACATATCAAAACGACATCACATCTATCAAATCTCAAAACGACATCCGCAGTATTTAATACGATATCACAACTAAAGAAGGGTGTATATATAGAAGTCAGGTATGGCGTTCCATAATAAACAGTACAGTTTAAAAAGGTCAATGATAAAAATGTAGGACATTGATAATCGATAATTTTAAATGAGAAAGATGCTTTCACCGAGATCTATTTTAATCACTGGAAGTAACCGCGGCCATTGGACTAGAGTTTGTAAAACAGTTTCTTAACCTGAATAATCCGCCGGAATTTGTGTTTGCATGTTGTAGGGACCCTGCCACAGCGACAGTAAGTTAAATTCCATACATTATATTTCGCGACTGATGACGATTAGATTATAATGCAGGTCACAGGTCAGATAGCTTTAGTTTCCCTTCATACTTATAATAGCAGAATGCATCCGAAAACCATACATTTACACCAAGACCCCACCCCCGGTCACATTTTGTTAAAGTACGTCAAGTGACAAAGGTGTATGTGACAAGTCAGATTTGCCACTGTAATCTAAATATGACCCCCTTAATCATGTGTATGTTAAAAAAAACAAGTCATTAGAGTGTCGTCTTTTTCGTGCTGTCGCGCTGCGGTTGTCTTTTCTTCGATGTCCCGTTACAATGGTAGGATACTACGTCATCGCGCACCTGCTGAATGCTCCCACTTCGGACCATTTTTTCGTCGATTCGAAGGTAAAATACAATTTTATTATAAGAAAACGTAAGAGTATTAAAAAATCATGTAGCGCAACCAAAGAATGGGCTATAGTACTTGAGATAATTGTAAAAAAAGTTTTAGATTTATTGCCTGGTTTAAGCCTGAAAACGGGATAAGTGTTTTTCTCTGAATGCTCCCACTCGGACTTTTCCCGAAACATATATGAAATAAGGTTGAAAACCTTCTTGAAAATTATTTTTAACGTACCGGAACATAAACCGAGTCATGTTTATCCATTTTTCTAGATTAATTTCAAATATTTCCATTCAGAAATCAGTTTTTCTTAATTCTTTTTATAAAAATGGAAAATGCTCCCACTCGGACTCATCTTCAGGGATGCTCCCACTCGGACCTAAATATACACATATTTTGAAAGCACATTGCTGTGTTAAGAATTTATCATTTTTTCAAAATATCTTTATATTCAAGTTAATATATTCATATTATCAGTTAGAATTCAATGAAACAGCATTTTTAAAATACGATACTAATATTTAGATCACTAAATTGTGACACATTGTATCATAACAGTCTCGTAAATATGTCTTCTTAGAGGATCAGTTATCGGCCTAAGAATAAGAAGAAATGTTGCGTTGAAACAATTCCTCGTTAAATAGAGTCGCTGAAATAAGAAACAAATTGATTATACATTTTAAAAATACTATAACGTTTTGTTTTGCAGAAAGTATTTGTGTTTGTGACCAGTATGGGAAAAGGTATAAACCACATTGCGACGTAAGGAAGCACATGGTAGGACATCTTGGCACGGCATAGCTGGAGCAAATATTTCAGATACCAACTGTGGGTATATCTCAGTGAGGAGGAATACTCTAGAAAACACAAGAATTGTAGCTCTTTGAAGTAATTGTCTTTTGTTCAGTTTTTTGCGTTAATCATTGGACAATGTGTCATAAAGGGTCATTTTTATCTGAAACTTCACTGGAGGATATATATACCACAAGCAAGAATGACAACTTTCCAGTTTTGGAGTTATTGCCCTTTGTATTCACTATGATTAGTTTGTAAGGACCATACCTCTAAAGGTATTTGAGATATAAACTTGAAACTTTATATTGAACAAAACTTCCGTATGCTGTTTTTAATTTAAGAAAACAACACTGAGACAGTGCAGATAGAAGTGAATAGCAGAGCATAAGGCCCAGAAGTGTTCACTTAATGCTTTTTTGTTGTTTTTTTTATTTGTTTTTTTTTTCATGGGAGTGTTATTTTTGTCATGATTTATTATTTCTAGGCTATAACTTTTCATTAATTTTCACGAGTGTCATTACTTTGATTTTTACATATAGGTTACTTCCCCTATGAAATGTATTTCCTCCTTTTCGGCGGGGGATTTTACTGTCTATGATTCCTCCTTGTATGATTGTTCTTATTTTAACGTCATTTAAATATCCTGAAATCAACTTTGGTTTTATATAATAAATATAATGATGATTTATCAATATTGTATGTTCCAGAAAGCATTATTTGTAAAGATAATACCGAATTAATATTTCATAAAGGGAGGTAATTAGAAATATATTTCTTTTAAGTGTAAGTTGAATTCTTAAATAAGAAATGAATGCATACATGTATATTTTAATGATTACATATAATGTGGACAAGCATTTGCAGTACGTATTTCACATATTCCTTAATGTTTGAAAATTGTTTTAGTAGCATAATTATATACATATATATAAAATTTCAATTGTAAATACCAAGATATGGTATAAACTGTGATAAAGAAATAACTGTGATCTTTGTTTCTTATTTATTTAATTTTGCTATTTAAGGTAAAAACACGTACATATGATAACTTTCATACTTAAAAATGTCAAAGTTGTCAATAATTGTGATGCATGCTTTATATGCCATGGTATGGCAGTACATTGACTTTTTAAACAGTTCATGACAAAAATGATTCACATGTTGTTCTTTAATAAACTATTCAAATCAACCGATAGATATTGACTTCTTTATGTTCATAAACGTACCATTATGTTGTTATAAAATCTAAAAAACACGCAAATCATTGAGTTTTAAATTATTAACAAGATATTAAAGTCAGCAATTATTGAATAAATGCAGGCCTCTAATATGTGTACGAGTCCAACAGAAACTTAATCCAGTATGGTACTAAACAATGTATAATGACTTCTTTATAAAGCACCACCATTGTTTTAACATCTCAAAAAAACTTTATTCTTGAGATCCAAACTGTCCATTTAAAGTCTTATATTCCTATCTTTGTTGTTGGCAATAATTTTGAATCATCCCTTCGAATCCAACACAAGCCAAGTGCACCTTTTTGTAAAGTGATCCTGTCAGTTGAAACGTTGCCATGGCACCGGGTCCTGCCCAACGACGTAAGAAGTGACCTTTGTAAAAAGAAGGTAAAAGTTAATGTCGCCAAACACAGTAGTTATTGAAAAAATGGTTTAAAGATTGTAAAAAAAATCCACATCAATGTGCTTTCATAATGTATATATTTGGGTCCGAGTGGGAGCATCTCTGAAATCGAGTCCAAGTGGGAGCATTTCCATTTCTATAAAAAAAAAACAACTTAAAAAACTGACTTTTGAATAGAAATATTTGAAACTAATCTAGAAAAATGTGTAAACATGACTCGGTTTATATTCCGGTACGTTAAAAATAATTTTCAAAAAGGTTTTAAACCTTATTTCTTATATGTTTCGGGAAAAGTCCGAGTGGGAGCATTCAGAGAAAAACACTTATCCCGTTTTCAGGCTTAAACCAGGCAATAAATCTAAAAACTTTTTTTACAATTATCTCAAGTACTATAGCCATTCTTTGGTGCGCTACATGATTTTTTAATACTCTTACGTTTTCTTATAATAAAATTGTATTTTACCTTCGAATCGACGAAAAAATGGTCCAAGTGGGAGCATTCAGCAGGTGCGCGATGACGTAGTATCCTACCATTGCGTTAGCTAGGGCTTTCGCGACACACACATAACTCAAAACAATGACTTTTCATCATCCTTGTTTCAACTTTTCAACGTCGTACTTACAGGTTTTTACCATCGTATTTTCGTCTCCCTGTTAAGCATTCGCAATGAATGACAATCTATATAAAGATGTCGCTTGAGTCCGAAATAGTTACACAAAATTTTCTTATCTTGTGCTAACATTATGATCAAAAGTCATTAACAATATTATTTTATTTGTAGTTGTATCCACGCTGATTAAAGTTGAAAGTACAATGGTGAAAAGTCGAATTAACGACGTAAACCACGAATGTGAAAACTGGAAAAAAACGATGATGAGAAGTCAAAATCCACATCGTCGTTTCGTTATTTTTCTACTTTGCACCGTCGTTCTTTCGACTTTTCACCACCCTATTTTCGTGTTTGTATTGTTTCGAGTTATATGTGTGTGTCACGATGACAACAACGAGGCACCGTACTTTCCGCTTGCAACAAAACGAAAATAAAATGATTTAACTTGTCTTCTTTTTTTTCAAGTGAAATGTCCAAACAATAGTTTCCCTTGTATATTTTGGTCAATCGACAATCCTTTTAGTGTCGATATAGCATTACCTTTACTATACATCTTACTTATATCTGTATCAATAGAGGTATCAAGATTCTTCGAAATTACCAAGGATTTCAAACACTTTGTTAAAACATCTGAAAACAACTTCTTAATTTACATGTATCATGACCATTCATTACAATAAGTGGAAACAATCAGTGTACAAGAGGAGTAACCTTGTGTAAGACACAAAGTTTTTTCTAATAATTTCGCATTTTCCAGGATTTGAAGGAGATTGTAAAGTCAAACTCATCTGTAATTATAGTTGAACTAGGTAAGAATGTAAATAGGGCAAGGTAATAAAACCTATCTTATATTCCCTTTACATATTCCCGATATACAAATATTCTGAACGGTCACCTGACACTTTGCACTTTTTTGAAAATTGATATTGACTTTGGTTTATACCTATATTCTTTTACAGAACCTCCCTATGTATGTACTCCTATGACTTGTTTATATTTTTGATATGTGATTTTTGGTTAATATGTGTTTCTTGTTTGTTTCTCATTTCCTTATTTGAATTAAATATTTATTCATTTCCCTATTTAAATCTCCTCTGACCTTAGAGCAATCCTTCTTTGGCATCTCATGGTGCCATTTTCCCGTTCAAATAACGTGTAAAATGCTATGTGTGTGCGTGCGTGCTTGCGTGCGTGCGTGTGTGTGGATATGCATTCTGTATCTTTTGTATGAATTGATAATGGTTATATCACTTTAATTTAAGAACAATAACATTTTACATTAAAATTATACAACTCCTTTACTTTCATCATAATATCAACCTATACTTAAAGTGTCATTGTGCTCATTTTTTTTTCACTGTCAAGTTGAGTTGAATAAGTGATATATTTCAAAAGATTGACTTTTAAAAGGATTATCAACAACTAATAAAGGAAAATGTTTATGATACAATACATAATCGATCTTAATAATAAAAAGACTGCCCCACTCTTTTTTAGATTTGCACATTTCCAATATATTGTAAAGAATATTTATAGACATTTCCGTTGGTCATGTGGATTATTGATTATTTTTTCTTATCAAAATGTAAAATTAAACCTAAATTAAGACAAAATGTCAAGTTATGTTGATTTTTACCTGTTTAGCCGACCATTTACCTATGGATAAGCATAATGTCACTATAAGAAATGATAATTCCATTCATTCAGTGGATTCAAGATAATTATTTAGAGTAGATAATGTAGAGTGTACATTTTTTATATATGATCCGGTTTGTGTGCAAGTCTCATTTTATTAAAATTTTCCAATAAATTTTGTGTATTAATTTTTGAAATACATGTACACTCAGACGCGTTTATATATAACCCAACACTAACATTTTTTGTATAAATAGGTTATTTATAGGTTCAAATTTGGAATATACAAAATTCAACATATCAGAATTATATTTACAATTGATTGTTAAGAAAATAGAAAAAATAACAAAACAATAGGCTACTGTAAAATGAAAAATGACAGAATGGCTGTAAAAATAGTAACAAAATTAAGTCTCTAAATCCCACTAAATCTGTATGTTAACCAGTTCTTACACTTTGTATGTGTTCCCTATTGGTTATAACAACGTAAACAACTCTGCGTCACAGTTCTTTATTCCTAAACAAGGGCTTGCTCGAGTCCCAACAACTTGCAAGGGACTTCTGGTCGCTTTTCCTTACGCCTGTTCAATTCAGCCGACACGAGAAGTGTGATGTTTAAATCTGGTGACTTTGAATCAAGGAAGCCCTCATTCAGGAATGGAGAAATATTCAATTTAATTTAGTGGGATTCAGAGACTTTTCATTTTGTTACGATATTTACAGCCATTCTGTGAATTTTCATTTTGCAGTAGCATATATGTTTTGTTATTTTCTCTATTTTCTTGTCGATAAATTGTAAATAAAGTTGTAAGTAGTGATATGTTGAATTTTGCATGGTCCAATGTTGAACAAAGTCCGTTCGCAAATACATTGTAACAATAATTGTATATACCGAAAAATTTAAGTGTCGGGTTATAAGTGCCTCTGAGTGTATGTGCATAACCATTGCTTATATAACATTTGACTGAAAATCTTATAGATGTCACTAAACAGGAGTCTGTAGAGAAAGCCAAATCTCATGTTGCGTCAATAGTTGGAACAAAAGGTTTGAATCTTCTTATCAACAACAGTGGTCTAATAAATTCTCAACGTATTGGAGATGTGACCAGGGAAGATATGCTCAAGTGTTATGAAGTTAATGCCATTGGTCCTTTAATGGTGGCTCAGGTAATTGGCGGCTAAGATTATTAAGAAAGAATTGAAATAATCATGATGATAGATATGAATTCGAGTGGCGGCATGGCCACTGACAAGCGACATGTTGTTCCAATATTACATGTGTTCAATGGTAGTGTTTGAAAGTAGTGTTTGCCAAATCTAAAATTTTTGTCTAATATTATCAATTTCATTGCTTTAATTAGTTAGATAAGATTAATATTTGTAGAAAGACTTGTTCGTTCGACCTCATTTACTAGACGAATGGCAGAAGTGATGCTTTTCAAATTTAGAAACTAAAAACTAAGCGATGATGTAAAGAAGCCATGTGTTTCTTTGAAATTATATTTTAATTTAGTTGATTATAAATATGCACATCCAATGTAAGAAACAGCTTCCGAGAGCATTAATGTTTTTTTTTTGAAAGTTCAACATAATCACTGAGAAACTGACGTCAAAAAAATTAGAAATCGAATATCATACTTTGCTAATTTTGAGTATGTTATTGATAAATTTCAGGCGTTTTTACCACTGTTACGACAAGCTGCTGGTCAACAGTCGTCAGAACCAATGTCATGTAGTAAAGCTGCTATCATCAATATATCCTCTGGCGTGGCTTCAATCACTGAAAATTCATCAGGTGGAATGTATCCTTCCAGAGCGTCAAAGGTAAATTATCTTATTGTTCAAAGATTAATTTATTTAATGCTTATATACATGTACATGTATATGACAATATACGTGTAAATGTATATGACATCTTTTAGATTAAAAACATTGAATCGCTGACTTTACATCTGTTTGGTTTCCAGTTCAGCTTTAGAAGTCAATTCTTTCATGTGATGATTTCTTAGCATTCAACGACAAATAAAAGTAATGTACGAGTGTTACTCGGATTGACTTGGGTTTCCCTCAATCATCATGACTATTAACTCCTATTATATCTAATACAGTGTAAGCTTGACCTTAAACCCGGTAAGTACAACCCTGCTTAATATCTTAAACTTACGGTGTCCTTATCGTGCCATTTAGAATGTCGTCCGTCGCGTCTAAGGGTAGACACACGACAATGCGAAGTGACATCGCGACAATGCGAAGCGACGCTCGACAACGCGAAGCGATATGCGACAATGCGAAGCGACGCTCGACAGTGTCAAACGATATGTCGCACTGTCGCCTAGAAATTTCGCGGTAAAAAAGGGCGACATTTAAGAGATGTCGCTTCGCGTTGTCGAGTGTCGCTTCGCATTGTCGAGCGTCGCTTCGCGTTGTCGCGATGTCACTTCGCGTTGTCGCGATGTCACTTCGCGTTGTCGCATTGTCACTTCGCATTGTCGAGTGTCGAGGTTGGTAGAAGTGCATACCACGACACTCGACAATGCGAAACGACAACGCGACAATGCGATACGACGCTCGACAATGCGAAGTGACACTCGACATTGCGAAGCGACATTTTTAAAATGTCGAGTAAATGTCGCGTTATTTTTATGATTTTTACACCGCGACGCTCAACATTGCGAAGCGACACTCGACAATGCGAAGCGACACTCGACAACGCGAAGCGATACTCGACAACGCGAAGCGACACTCGACAATGCGAAGCGACATTTGGAATAATATCGTATCGCATTGTCGTGCGTCTACCGGTGCTTGGTCAGAATTTACTAACTCACCGACAAACGGTGCGATCATGGAAGGGGTCGCACTAAACTGCTGACGAATATGCTGACGATATAGAATATATAGGAAACTGCTGACCAGTTAAACAAAGAAGGATTATCGAAAACTGCTGACCAGTTACACAAAGAAGGGAAACATTGAAGGTGTCAAATTGCCGTTGGTGATATTACAGGCGAGGTCGAGAAATACTTGATAAAATGTTTTTTCAAGATGTCAATATTACAAATGATACATATTAATTATAAAAAATTCAATTTATATATACTGTATATTTCTCAATTTATTTTGATATAATATTTTATTTAAGTACCTTAATGAATTTTCTTCTATGTGTTATATATTGGTTAAAATTTTAAAAATGTAGTCAAAATATGATGTACGAAAAATCATAATTTGTTTCAAGTATGTATAAAACTATGCATCATAGGTTAAAATATATACATGTACATATACGTAATGTATATTTTAACAAAATATAATTATTATGTCGTATTTAGTGCAAATAGGTCATATTAAAATCGATTTCACACGCGACGTGTCATTCTTGATTTATCTATGACAAAATACAATAAACAGTCAAAAATATGTTATTAAAATGCTGACCATATTGTAGAATCTGCTGAAAAGTTAGATATATAGAGAAAAATATATTTAAATGCTACGAAATTGTTACTCATTATGCAAATTTAATATATTTTATAAAATAATGTCGACATTTAATTAAGTAAAAACACTGCTGACCAATTTAATGTTAATTCAAATTGATTTAAGCCGTAAAACTCTCTTATTCTATATGGTCAGCAAATTTAACGCTCTTTACATTCAGGCGAGAAAATGCTGACCAGTTAAACATATAGTAGAATCTGCTGACCAGTTAGATATATAGGGAAACTGCTGACCAGTTAGATATATAGAGAAAAATATATTTTGCCGTGAAATTGTAATTCATTTTATAATGTATGCAAATTCAATATATTTTATAAAATTATGTCGACATTTAATTAAGTAAAAACACTGCTGACCAATTTAATGTTAATTCAAATTGATTTAAGCCGTAAAACTCTCTTATTCTATATGGTCAGCAAATTTAACGCTCTTTACATTCAGGCGAGAAAATGCTGACCAGTTAAACATATAGTAGAATCTGCTGACCAGTTAGATATATAGGGAAACTGCTGACCAGTTAGATATATAGAGAAAAATATATTTTGCCGTGAAATTGTAATTCATTTTATAATGTATGCAAATTCAATATATTTTATAAAATTATGTCGACATTTAATTAAGTAAAAACACTGCTGACCAATTTAATATTATTTCAAATTGATTTAAGCCGTAAAAGTCTTCTTATTCTATATGGTCAGCAAATTTAACGCTCTTTACATTCAGGCGAGAAAATGCTGACCAGTTAAACATATAGTAGAATCTGCTGACCAGTTAGATATATAGGGAAACTGCTGACCAGTTAGAAATATAGAAAAATATATATTTTGCCGTGAAATTGTTACTCATTTTATAATGTATGCAAATTTTATATATTATATAAAATCATGTCGACATTTAATTAAGTAAAAACACTGCTGACCAATTTAATGTTAATTCAAATTGATTCAAGCCGTAAAACTCTTCTTATTCTATATGGTCAGCAAATTTAACGCTCTTTCACATTCAGGCGAGAAAATGCTGACCAGTTAAACATATTGTAGAATCTGCTGACCAGTTAGATATATAGGGAAACTGCTGACCAGTTAGATATATAGAGAAAAATATATATTGCCGTGAAATTGTTACTCATTTTATAATGTATGCAAATTCAATATACTTTATAAAATTATGTCGACATTTAATTAAGTAAAACAACTGCTGACCAATTTTAATGTTATTTCAAATTGATTTAAGCCGTAAAACTCTTCTTATTCTATATGGTCAGCAAATTTAACGCTCTTTACATTCAGGCGAGAAAATGCTGACCAGTTAAACATATACACATGTAGTAGAATCTGCTGACCAGTTAGATATATAGGGAAACTGCTGACCAGTTAGAAATATAGAAAAAAAATATATTTTGTCGTGAAATTTTAATTCATTTTATAATGTACGAAATTCAATATATTGTATAAAATTTGTCGACATTTTAATTAAGTTAAAACACTGCTGACTTATTTAATATTAATTCAAATTGCAATTATTGCTTTTGAAAAATACATTTTTTTCCGTTACAAGATTTTTCTATTGAAATATCACTAACAAGAGATTTTGATAAAACTCATAACATCATAATTCTTTTAAAAACATTAATTCAAATTTTTGCATATCTTTAGAGGTATAAAAAGCTGTTTAATATATCCTTTTAAAATCACGGATTTATATTACATGTAGTAATGTAAATCCGTGTTAAAATGTATGATATTATGGTACTTAAATGTATATATTAATTTAGTTTATAAACATAGTCATATAAATGCAAAAATTAAAAATATAATTAAAAGAATAAAAGTAATTTCCCATCTTTTTATTACCCCCTACGGCGTGTTTATATAACTTCACACCTTCAATGTTTCCCTTCTTTGTGTAACTGGTCAGCATTTTTCCGATAATCCTTCTTTATTTAACTGGTCAGCAGTTTCCTATATATCTATATCGTCAGCTAATTCGTCAGCAGTTTAGTGCGACCCCTTCCATGATAGCACCGTTTGTCGGTGAATTAGTAAATTCTGACCAAGCACCGGTAGACGCACGACAATGCGATACGATATTATTCCAAATGTCGCTTCGCATTGTCGAGTGTCGCTTCGCGTTGTCGAGTATCGCTTCGCGTTGTCGAGTGTCGCTTCGCATTGTCGAGTGTTCGCTTCGCAATGTTGAGCGTCGCGGTGTAAAAATCATAAAAAATAACGCGACATTTACTCGACATTTTAAAAAATGTCGCTTCGCGATGTCGAGTGTCACTTCGCATTGTCGAGCGTCGTATCGCATTGTCGCGTTGTCGTTTCGCATTGTCGAGTGTCGTGGTATGCACTTCTACCAACCTCGACACTCGACAATGCGAAGTGACAATGCGACAACGCGAAGTGACATCGCGACAACGCGAAGTGACATCGCGACAACGCGAAGCGACGCTCGACAATGCGAAGCGACACTCGACAACGCGAAGCGACATTTCTTAAATGTCGCCCTTTTTTACCGCGACATTTCTAGGCGACAGTGCGACATATCGTTTGACACTGTCGAGCGTCGCTTCGCATTGTCGCATATCGCTTCGCGTTGTCGAGCGTCGCTTCGCATTGTCGCGATATCACTTCGCATTGTCGTGTGTCTACCCTTAGACGCGACGGACGACATTCTAAATGGCACGATAAGGACACCGTATAAACTAGTGTTACTTGATTTGACATTCATTTATGAGGAATAAAATTAAGTTTGAAGGATCAAAATATCAGATTGTATAGATTGAATTTGCAACGAACTTTGAATAATGTATGAATTTCTGCTCATTACTTATTTTGCAATTTTCTTTTATTTTCACAGGCCGCCTTAAATATGATCACGTCCAACCTTAGCCTGGATTTAAAAACCGATGGTATCTTATGTACAGCGATTAATCCCGGCTGGGTGAAGACCGAAATGGGAGGACCGAATGCTCTAATTACTACAGAAGAATCTGTTGAAGGGATAATGTCCGTCTTAGAAAAACTTAAAGGTGAAGAGGACTCTGGAAGATTTTACCATGGTGTCAAAGGACAAACTATTCCTTGGTAATACGGGACCTTACAAAGCATTGAATATGAGGATATATAAGTGTAAACAATTACATGTATATTTTCAGTTTCTGTACAAATTGAATTGTTTATGGAACCTACGTATGGTACTGAAAAAGTATATATGTCGATAGCATTATGTATTTACATACATGTTCCTTCATATGGAAGAGAATCGCTGCAAAAATTACTTCCTGCTTTCTTACATTGTAAATTGTAGATTCCATGTGCCTGCAAGTAAATTCGTTCATTGAACCTTTACAATGGTTATGCCATGCTGCATTCTTATATTGTAAATTGTAGGTTTTTATTTCATTTCTTTCTAGTCACTATATCACTTTTATTATAATGATTTGCCCTCGCTGCTTATGAATTCATAATACTTGATGGGAAACTTCTCATTTCACAGCTGTAAACATTCATGCTATGCTCATTCGAAACACTAAATTTAATATTGAATATGGCCATTATGATGAGTTTTAGTTTTTATTATTCAATGTCTATTAATTAGGCTGTGTCTGTTGTTCTTGTATCAACGATGACAAAACATGTATTAGTCAATGATTAAAGAAATGTACTGCGGAGTCATAAATGCTAAATTCAAAATAACATATGCAAAACGTACGTCCAAATGACAGTTATCGCATGGATTTGAACATTTTCTTTGTTCTTACTAACCCATTATACGCAGTACACTTTCAATGAGCATTCGAAAACTGTATTGATATGTAACAGTGCAGTTTTTTCATTGATTCATATAGGGAAAAAACCCAACTAATATATATCAGTTGAGGTGTTTTCGCTCCTTGTATATATCAGTTGAGTTTTTCACAAAGGCTCCAATTTGGTAGCGGTAACGCAGTAGCGAAAAAAAACGCGGGTCAGGTTAGGAAACCGCCATTTTATTCTTTATATGGAGAAAAGTTTTGTTCCTTTAACTGTCTAATATATTTATTTTGAGGCCATTTAGAGAATTAGGAACGAAAAATTCAAAACTAAGAAATGAAAATTTTGCCTGTGTCTCCCTTTAAATCATAAATAGCTGTAAGGTATCTTACGACAGCATTAGCTTGTATATGGTTCATTTTATCTGGGGGTAAAAAGGTGACAAAATGAGAAGGCACAAGAGAGAAGTGCACATGTTTATTTTGTTGTTGTTTTTTGTGATAACGGTTACAAAAAATTACGAAATTGCTATAAAACAGTTATAATATATGAAACTCGTTAGTTACGGGGATATAACACTGACCTGGGCGGCATCTCGGGATGTTTCTGGAAAAAAAAATCGTCTCGGCCTAACGGCCTCGACAGTTTTTTTTAGCAGAAACATCCCTCGATGTCGCCCGAGCAAGTGTTATATCCTAGTTACTAGCTCGTTTCATATACTATATTACTTATCGAGTAGCATGTTATCGAGTGGAAGAAGCCGCAAGCATCACGGATATCCATGAAAGCAAACTATTAAGTTGCATTATATCACCAGGCGGCGCTGGTTGGTTTCCGTGACATCATGATGAATATGTGCTGTTTGTTAGGTCTCTTACTAGTATATTCGCGGTTTGTAATGGACAGATATAAAACCCTACTCATATCTTCTCTCATCCATTCGGTATATGCATCCAGAGGGCATTGGCAGAAAATTTGGAACTTTGTCACTGGCTGACTGATTTGTTAAGATCCGAGATTGGTTCTGGTACATAGAAGGCAGGTCCTAGAAGTGAAACTGTCACTTATGAAGAAGTTCGAGTTAAGTCTTGTCGCGCTACGAACCAGCTGTCCTCACTAATTTCCAGGGGTGTGACCCTACATAGTAGGTAGGGACGAAAAGAAAGGGTACTATAAGGTGTATAAGCCCCCGAATACACAATCACGGCTTGAAAGGCAGTCCCTTAAATTTGCATGGTACCAACATCTTTCATCATTAGGGCGTGGCGTAGCCCTGATTATTGTCATAGGTTTCTGTACCTTCTAGGACTCAAAATGTTTCTGTTTTGCTAATACTCTGTGGAAATTGCACGGAGGTAAATTATCACAACCTAGTGCTTCGTGCTTTTGAAAAGGAAAATATTGCCGCGATAAGTGTCGGATTTAGGCTATGGTTTCATGGCTACATCAATCACTGCATTGTTAAGCGTGTCTTGACCAATATAATTTTGAAAATGGTTACTAGCAAGCACTGGCCTTAACATAATACACCGAGATGAATAAATCTTCCAAAAAGGTACCATTATTATTAAAAAACTGGCAGTTTTTATAAGAATAGATAAAATTAATTTGATAAGTTATGGCCTAGGGAATGTAGCTTCCCAAACATTGTGTATAACTTAATACTTCATTTATTCAAATTAGACATATTCAGGAAGATTTAAATAGATTTCAATAAATCTCTACAATAAAAGTATTTTACCCAAAAATGGGTATAGTATATCTCTAAGTGTATTTATGTCAAAATCAGTCAGAATTTAGTGCACTGCCTATTGTGATGATTTTAGTTCAAAAATTCTTTACCGGATCAAAGACAATCTGAGGACGCTATTATGATAAAAAAGTATGAGTCTGTCAACCACCGTTGTTAAATGCAGGTGGTTAATGCAGGTACAAATGTATTAAGAAAACTTTAAGCATTGATTACAAAAGTCAGTGATCATTTTTCATTTTAAATTTGTTTGTGTTTTTCTAAATAGTAAGATGATAATGTATGTAATATTTCAGTGCTACAATAGTACTTATTAGAGAGGATAAGATAATCCACCTTCTTCATCAAAATATCTCCTTTAAGTCAACCAAATGTCATGATATCATCTAAAACCTGTAAAATACTAATAGACAATGCATTGTAATTGTATTTCTTATAATGTGTGGTTGTATACAAGATAAACAAGTGTACTATATGAGGAGATCTGGAAGACAGGCTACGGAAAATGAATATTTATTTTGTAATCATTGTACGAACTTCCTGCGATCCTGATTGTATCAGATCTTTACAATTCAACCTCGCTTTCCTTGTCCGAGTAAAAAAATCACACTGTTATGCGCCGCATTTTTTGAAGGTATTTTATTCCATTATCATTTGTTTGGTCATTTTTCAAACTAGTATAATCTACTGTTTAAACTATGAAAAAAAAACATGGACAACTAGCAATGGCTTAACGATTAGTTTGACATTGCCTCTATATATGTAACTTACTTTTGTAGGAGGGTTTTGGGACAAATTAGTAGTGTGTTTAAATTAAGCAATACAACATTTATATTAAAACTAAAATAGAAGAAAATATAAAATCATCATTTATATACGCGATCTACCGAAATCAGAGTACTTAAAACTTTCCCGCCACAAAACGGATGCGGTTATGCAATCTCTTTCTTCATTAAAATAAAAAATCAAACTTATTTATCAATACGCCTATGATAATGATGAATTACCGGCAGTAATGTCACTCGAACGCGTGAGATATCAAAAATTACAACCCGGCTGTTGCAGATATGTTTATTAATGAGCATTTTAAGAAAGGTAGCAAATAATCCGCTGAATAAAATTATCCATGGACGTTTATTTTTATTTTTTTTCATCGAGGTCAAAATAGAATGTTTTAGAATGATTCCCGTCAACATTGAGTGACCATGACACAAACCACGAGATTATAAAGTTTATATACACTGTCAAAATATCTATACAATATCTAGGACACTGGATACTATTAAATTTGTTAAAATGCTTTCACCAAGATCTGTTTTAATCACTGGAAGTAACCGAGTTTGTGAAGCAGTTTCTTACACTGTCAAAGCCGCCAAAATTTCTGTTTGCATGTTGTAGGAATCCTCCTGCAGCGACAGTAAGTTAATTAATATATGCCATCTTATTTTGTGACCTTGAAAAATTAACGATTATATTTTCAATGTCAGAAGTTTAAAAAGCAATTAATTAATTAAAAAATGAAATGGTGAAAATTTCAATGATAGCAAATACAGGGGCAAGTTTCAGATTGGAAGAAAATGCCTATGCATTTTTATCAGATGAAAAACAGATACACATTTTACCTTGCGCATTTTATAACTGGGCACTAACGACGTGCTACCTTATCGACCATCCTGAGGCGTAAAATCCGCCAATTCTTGATAGTTGTATTTTTCGTCCTTAAGTAGATGTCATTATTTGTTTTGATCAGTTGTTAAAGCTCTTTTTACTCCACTGTGGGGTCCAAGATTGAACAAATATTATCACATTAATATGACATAAAAATTTTATTTATCAAATTGAATGCAGATTGAATGTGATGAAAAGGAAAAAATGTATAACACTTTTAAATATGGTGGCTGATTTGGTACGCTTTTGTGCGTCGAGTTGGCACTAGCGGCAAACGGCGCTTTGTCGCGCTGTCGTCTTGTCGTCCTGTCTCTAGCGCGGTACGCTAAACGGCGCGTTGTCGTGCGGCGTGTTTTCACGATGTCACATTTTCGCTTGGTTTGGTCTGAAGCCAAAATGTAAGGATATCTAGAAGCAGTGTTATTAAACAGAACTCTAATATCTTAGCAATTTAGCTGGTGTGAAAAGATTATCCTGTACGTTTTATTTTAAAGCTATCCTGTACATTTTATATTATACCAGCAAGAACTATCCTCAATTTAATTAAGAAATATTCTTAAAAATTTATTTTAGAATGGCAAGAACTATCATTTACAATTTATTTTAGAATGACCAATGAGATTCTTAGACTTCAGTTTGTAATTTTAAAATTACCAATGAATTATTTTCTTCTTATATCCATTTTCCCCTGTAAATTTTACAAGAAGTCAAATTGAATTTAGATGGCATTCGGCAAAAAAAACCCACACACATTCGTTTGTAAAAGAGTTTTTAATAGACTTGGGTTTTAGGAAACCGATGTGGGAGTTCATAAAATTGTAAGAATATCAATATAATGTAAAATTCTGTTTATCTTTTGTTTTGTTTGGCATTTTTCAGACTTTGAACGAGATTGCAAAGTCAAATTCATCTGTATATGTTGTTGAACTAGGTAACGAACTAAGAAGAAAAAAGCTTCAGTGCATATTACATCATATTGCTCTTCTTCATTTAAGTCAGAACATGTGAATAAGAAAATTTATAAACACGAAAGTGGAAGTGATAACAAAGCACACAATTTTCCTTAAGTTTGATATCTTGAAATGTTTTGGCTCATCTGGAGGCAATGAGCTTTAAAATGACTGATATTCTTGTAGATGTCACTAAACAAGAGACAATAGAGAAAGCCAAGTCTCACGTTGCGTCAATAGTTGGGCCTGAAGGTTTAAATCTTCTTATCAACAATAGTGGTTTAGTAAATGCTCAGCGTATTGGAGATGTGACCAGGGAAGATATGGCTAAATGTTACGAAGTTAATGCTATTGGTCCGTTAATGGTAGCTCAGGTAATTTTGAGTTTGATGATAGAATTTGTGGAAAACTGAAAATGTGAATTGTTACTATCAGCAGAATGTTTATTTAAGTTATTTTCAATTTGGTAAGTGTTGTTGCTGTAAGGAAACATTTATTCAAACTGTTTTAGTTTGTGCTATTAAAAGGATTTTTTAAGTTGTAATTGTACCGAGATATTATTTGAAAATACAATGATTCTGTGTTCAATTATCAACCTGTGTTAGGTTTACTTGTTTTAGCGAATTCTTAAAAGACAGCAACAAAGAATATCAGTAAAATATTGTCGTTGATGCCAAATATCAGGCCCTATAATAATGAAGATTTTTGAGTCACTTATCCATTTTTTTATTATTTTCAGACATTTTTACCACTGTTTCGACAAGCTGCTGGTCAACAGTCTTCAGAGCCAATGTCATGTAGTAAAGCTGCTATCATCAATATATCAACTGGTGTAGCTTCTATCACTGAAGTTCATCAGGGGGAATGTATGCGTACAGAGCGTCAAAGGTACATTGTCATCACTGTAAAAATGATATATTATATTATCTGGATGTAAGCATTATTACTAGCTTCCCTTAACTCATAAGGATAGTAATGATATCCACTTGCATGTTAGCATGTGTGTCCACATTAGCGTTACATCTTGGTTGTTGTTGTACTTGATCCTTAGACCATCATTGTAACATTGCTGAGAATATTTTGAGATATTAATTCCTCTTATTCTACCTCTGGTCAAGGTTTTCGTATACTTAACTGAACATTCTGAGGTATTGCTAGTAATTATTAATATCATTCGTGCGCTGTAACTGGCAGGCAAGGATAAAAGATATGAGATCATGAACACTATGTCAATCAATAATTGTAACAAGTAAAATGGTTTCCTGCGGTGAACATTTTAATGATAAAAAGATATTTCATTTAACTATTTTCAACATTATTTGGGGGTGGGGGGATAAATATGTTATGTTATGTTATGTTATGTTATGTTATGTTATGTTATGTTATGTTATGTTATGTTATGTATAAATGTATTGTTGTCTTTTTTTCTTACACAAACTGCCCCGAATATAAACACATCAAAAATTAGCCCGGGCTGAAATTTATGGTATTTTATTAAGCATACATCGGGTGGGTGAAAGGA